ATCAGAGTATAGTACTCGATAAGCACTCATCTCTCTTCCCCCCTCGTCCTTGTGGCGCCCAATATCTTTGACACCATTTCTTTGCGAGTTTGGCCAACTTCCCACTAGTTAACATTTTGTGCCAATACCCTAAACAAGCTTTGCCCTAATACACCCCAATGTGCTCTATAAAATCTTGGGTATACCGTCTTTCCGGTGTTTTCCCGGTACTCATCCCGAAAACTGCCCTCTTCACCTCACCTTCATTTACCACCTCCAACCCCACTCTATCCTGCTCACTTTAATACGCATGGAACCACCTCCAAATAATACCCTCCAGGAACCCCCCTCCCTCTACTCATTTCTCCCTAAACCAACTATCTGAGAGAGACTCATACTTTCCGTGTTGGAAGACCCGACCCTCTGGATACCCTCCCACCCAGGGCTTGTCTCCAATTGTAGAATGGGGTTACCTTGTCGGTTCTCGCAATTTACGGAAACAAACCCGGACAGCTTATCACCCACAATGTTTACCCTTCCCCCTTCTAACCCCGCCCCCCTAACCCTGATTGCATCAAAACCTATCATAGTGTAATGTCAGCAATTTACTCCGATGACTAGCCATGTCATCCTCCTACCACCTCCCCCGTCAAACAGTCTTGCAATGTCCTCCCTCCAGATTATTTTGCCAACCCAAACCCCCACTTCGCCTCTTCTCGTCCTCTATGGCCTGCATTTCCCACCAATTAACAGATCTATCTCCTGTCCCTAGCCTACCAAAAATGCAAACACCAATCACTGAAATAAGGCCCCTCCCCTCCTCCTTAAGAAGCCTTACATTTAAATTTCCAGTACCAGAATATATACACACACTCCATCCACATCTGATCTGCTATTACTGCCCTGTGAATTTCAGAAAACCCCACATCGAAGGTTTAGCACCCTCACAACCTGCTATACCATGCTTAATATAGATTCGGTCCGCATTCGCGCATCATAATCCCCTACGGATGATCTTGTGCTCCACTAGGTATCCCCCCTCCCCACCACATCAACTACCCCAATAACTCGCATATACATCTCAGAACACTAAAACACACAAAGCCGCCCCTCTCGGTTCGACAACTCCACTCCGAATCAAACAATTCCAATCAACCTCATATTACTGTAAATAGCAGGCAACCTTCAAGTGATACAGCTATACCTCCTGACTAAATCTACTTTTACCTGGTATTACTAGTTGCTGGCATGTAAAACACAACAAATATGGCCGACCTCTCACCCCAGACACCATTCCACCCTCACGGCCCTCCCACCCCCCCTCTCCCATCCCATGACACGCAAGGGACGGTCTCTTTACCGCAACTGCTACCCCACTTTCATTGCAAAGCATGCTAAACATACATCCGGATATCTATCACCTTCAACTCACATCCAGCTCTGTGATTATGCTTTGCAAATAACAAATGTCGACAATCAAACCGCCGTAAAAAACCACTCCAACAAACTTTCTTGACCTCAGTTTAAGGCATTAACATAAGTGTGACACATCTGTAATTTTAGAAGGGGCAGCTTTCCATATGCAGCTGGGATTTACTCACTGCACTTTTCACATACGTGTGCCTTGTCACGCGATTTTTCCTGTGCGTTACCTCCCCCCCTCCCTCTCCCATGGTGCAACTCAGGCGCTCCTCTACCACTTTGAGACATCAGCTCCGCCACCACTGCCAATGAAACTTTTCCCTGGCCTCTGCCGGGGTAATGACCTCGTCTTCTCTGATGCAGCCGTTCTTTTTCCTAGAAACTCCCGGCTTAACCTCATATCACCTCAGGCGAATCCTCCTGGTGTACTCTTCGACCACCACATGCTCCGTCCTTTTATTATCAAGGCTTCCGCACGTTTTGTTGTCCCTCCAGCGCTCCTTCCTCACATAAAATGAGACACTTCTGCACAGGGCTCCTCACCATCCAGAAAATCCTTGTCACATCGCAAGGAGGCCAATCCAGGGTCGAAGCTTTCCTGGACGAAAGACCCTCGGATGTCACCTTCGTCTTCCCCGACCCCCTGGGTGAGTGACACACGTCTCCGCAGCACCACCTCCGTTTCGACTCCATCGTCAAGAGGTCAGTCCTCCGTCCTCCCGAGGCACCAGTGCCAGGCACCAAATCACAACGGCTGCTGAATCACAATCGGAGTCCCAGGACTCGAGGAGCCTTCCCTCCTAGGACTCTGGGATGCCATATGCTCAGAAGAGCTTTCTCTAATGACTGTTGCCTCTGTCAGACATAGATACTCTATAAACCTGTGTTCTTTAACCGGTATCGTAATATAGGATGGTTATAGGCCTTGTTAAGACATTTTGAGGGTGTAAGAACCCTCGGCAGCCCTTCTTACGGACCAATCCCTCCACTCTCCCATGGTTGCGAATGCACTGGTCCCATAACTGCTGAAAAAACTCCTGTAGACCATATGCTGTAGCCTCCAAAGGGTACATTTCGCACCTTCACCCTTGTGAAGTAATTAGAGAGTCATGTAAAACGGCATCCACCGGGAATTCAAACTCACGCGTTGTTCCTGGTAATGCTCGACAATTCTTGTGTTGAAGCCGGCTCGTACAAATTTCACGAAGATTCTTGTCAAACATTAAGAGCGACGCCATACAATTCCTCATTGGGGAATTACCATATGCATCCTGATGTGCCAGGGAGAAGACGTTCATCTTATCGCATTAATGTACCACAGAACTAGCTCAATGCCAGACAGTATTTATTCTCCGTCCTGTTTGTTCCGCATTTTGATATCCAGGTGACATACTGGTATAAAGCGCAAAGCCACTCAATCAGGAGTGTCTGCGCAGCAGGTCCACACGGCACGAGAGCGATGCGAACACTGAGTTTATATATATATATATATATAAACTAATAATGGGTCGATTTACTGTGAACTTCTATTACAACCACATTATTATTATTATTATTATTATTATTATTATTATTATTATAGATTATACAGCGCTTGTAAGGGGGGGATGGAAGGCATTCCCTAGATCAAGAGTCTCCCTTACTGGGGAAGCTGCCACCACAACATAGTAACTGCTTCATGAGTTTTAATTACAAAACTTTACCTATGACTTATTCATTCAACAGTCTGATCTACATGTTCATATTGTATTTCTGTGTTTTTGCTATTCAGATATATTGCTGTGAAGTGCTAAAACCGTGCGAGCCATTCACATCAAGGAGTGGTGGAGACACGATCTCTGACCTAGTAGGTGGCTGGTGCCCCTATGATCGTTTGTGCACGAATAAGCACACCTCAAAAGGTATTTCATTTGAGCTCTTGTCTAGACACATGAGACTCTCCCCTTGAACCTAAGTTGTTAGGAACTGGGCTTTAAGTGCTTAGCTATGTCTTCTTAGTGCTCCATAAAGTACTCTGTATATGTGAGCAATATTATATATAATCTTATAAGTTTTTTGTAGGACTGAGAGTACCTCTGTCAGGTTTGTTGTGGATGGAACTTCAATTCTCAGTATTCTTGGATTTCATTTTTCTGGCTACACAGTCGTACCTGGAGTTTACCTGGAGAGAGTTCCGGGGGTCAACGCCCCCGCGGCCTGGTCTGTGACCAGGCCTCATGGTGGATCAGGGCCTGATCAACCAGGGCTGTTACTGCTGGCTGCACGCAATCCAACGTACGAGCCACAGCCCGGCTGGTCAGGTACCGACTTTAGGTGCTTGTCCAGTGCCTGCTTGAAGTGCCTGCTTGAAGTGCCTGCTTGAAGAAAAGCCTTTCATTCCGTGTAGAGCTTTGTCAAGTCACTGATGAAGCTCTGAACAGAGCGTAACGTTGTCACAATGCAAGCTTACTCTGCACCCGCAGCTTCTTCATTCATTTTTTTGTGTTTGGGAAGCTGCAGCAATTACACTATGTAGTGAATGGATGAAGAATGTAAATTGCATTTAGCCAAGCTTGACTTTCCATAGCATGACATTACTTAGGCGACGAGGGATAGAACAAGTGTTTGAATATGGGTGATAATAATAATAATAATAATAATAACAATAATAATACTTTATTTAAAACTTAAGACTAACAGTTATAGATTCAGTCCTAAATTTATACTTACAAAGTATAAATTTAGGTGTTACAATGAATACAAGAGTAATGAATATCCTGTTAGTTCATGCTATATGGCTTTTATTAAGTTTAATTGATGAGGAGTTGAGAATACGTGGCCCCGTGGCTGGTGGCTCAAGCTCTCGCTTCACATGGTGATGTCCGGGTTCGATTCCCGGCGAGGGTAGAAATACTGGGCGTGTTTCCTTACACCGGTTGTCTATGTCCCCCATTAGTAAAATGGGCACCTGGGTGTTAGTCGACTGGTGTGGGTCGCATCCTGGGACAAAACTAACGTAATTTGCCTGAAATGCTCAGCATAAAAAGCGGCTTTCTATATAGAAGTATGTCATTGATGTCAGGCCTGTATACCTTGTACATGTACTTGTAGAAATAAACATATGATATATTACTAATACAATTACGAGGCTGAGCTCTGGGGGAAGTGGCTACCACTGATACATTTTGTGGTATGGTGTACTGTCATCAGTTGTTTAGCTGGAGACAAGTCGTGATCCAGCACAGCTGCTACAGATAATGCAGGTGTTGACGCTCGCCACAGAAGTTGATGGCCCGGGATGATGAGGACGTGTGAATGTAATGTGGCGATAAATATGTACCGAGGTAATAGGTAAGGGCACCGCGGGTGAAGGTGAATGAGCATAGTGACAGAGGTATTATGGTGATATACGAGGATCATCCAGCCAGAACGCTGTCCCATGTATCTCTTGTCATGATTCATGACTAAGCACGAACGATTCGTGTGCTCACAGCTATGCCGTTCAGGTCGGATTCACTTCCACTGTGTTCATGTCATCGCAGGAAGATGATCACAAATATTTTTTTTTTCCAGTATTACTGAGGGTCAATACATGTTCATTTGTCTACTTCTCGTTCCAGACAAGACCGGGTCGTAATTCAAGTGGATAGACCTCAAATTGACGGTAAAGAATTTTCTTGTTTTTGTCACTGTGAATATACATAACAGAAATTTAGTTTGAATTTAATATTGTAGTGATTTTATTGGGTGTTTGTAGTGTAATAATAATAATAATAATATAATTTTTTTATTCGCCTGTGCTCTCCCGGCTCGGATTTAACATATATATGTTATATAAATACATGTGCACATATACAGTACATATGAACTTGAAGTCAAGGGAAGTGATAATGTTATCGTTATTATATATATATATTATATATATATATATTATTATATATATATTATATATATATATATATTTAAAAAAAATCTGTAATCTGGAAAGAGTTCCGGGAGTCAACGCCCCCGCGGCACAGTCTGTGACCAGGCCTCATGGTGGATCAGGGCCTGATCAACCAGGCTGTTACTGCTGGCTGCACGCAATCCAACATACGTATATTGTGTTTGTAAATAATGGATGGCCTGAGTGTCATGAACACTTGTCAACGTTAACAGTAAACTCACATATAAACGTAGTAGAATACTTAATATATTTTCCATTAGTAACAATTAGGTTTTACTGGTTATTGCATTATTATTTTATTTCATTACTGCATTACTTTCATTACTCCACAAAGGGGGCAGTAAAGCAACAGCAAAGAACTACAGACCAATAGCACTAACATCCCATATCATAAAAATCTTTGAAAGGGTCCTAAGAAGCAAGATCACCACCCATCTAGAAACCCATCAGTTACACAACCCAGGGCAACATGGGTTTAGAACTGGTCGCTCCTGTCTGTCTCAACTACTGGATCACTACGACAAGGTCCTAAATGCACTAGAAGACAAAAAGAATGCAGATGTAATATATACAGACTTTGCAAAAGCCTTCGACAAGTGTGACCATGGCGTAATAGCGCACAAAATGCGCGCTAAAGGAATAACAGGAAAAGTCGGTCGATGGATCTATAATTTCCTCACTAACAGAACACAGAGAGTAGTCGTCAACAGAGTTTAAAATCCGAGGCAGCTACGGTGAAAGCTCTGTTCCACAAGGCACAGTACTAGCTCCCATCTTTTTCCTCATCCTCATATCCGACATAGACAAGGATGTCAGCCACAGCACCGTGTCTTCCTTTGCAGATGACACCCGAATCTGCATGACAGTGTCTTCCATTGCAGACACTGCAAGGCTCCAGGCGGACATCAACCAAATCTTTCCGTGGGCTGCAGAAAACAATATGAAGTTCAACGATGAGAAATTTCAATTACTCAGATATGGTAAACATGAGGAAATTAAATCTTCATCGGAGTACAAAACAAATTCTGGCCACAAAATAGAGCGAAACACCAACGTCAAAGACCTGGGAGTGATTATGTCGGAGGATCTCACCTTCAAGGACCATAACATTGTATCAATCGCATCTGCTAGAAAAATGACAGGATGGATAATGAGAACCTTCAAAACTAGGGAGGCCAAGCCCATGATGACACTCTTCAGGTCACTTGTTCTATCTAGGCTGGAATATTGCTGCACTCTAACAGCACCTTTCAAGGCAGGTGAAATTGCCGACCTAGGCGCGCATAACGGAGATAAAACACCTCAATTACTGGGAGCGCTTGAGGTTTCTAAACCTGTATTCCCTGGAACGCAGGAGGGAGAGATACATGATTATATACACCTGGAAAATCCTAGAGGGACTAGTACCGAACTTGCACACGAAAATCACTCACTACGAAAGCAAAAGACTTGGCAGACGATGCACCATCCCCCCAATGAAAAGCAGGGGTGTCACTAGCACGTTAAGAGACCATACAATAACTGTCAGGGGCCCGAGACTGTTCAACTGCCTCCCAGCACACATAAGGGGGATTACCAACAGACCCCTGGCAGTCTTCAAGCTGGCACTGGACAAGCACCTAAAGTCAGTTCCTGATCAGCCGGGCTGTGGCTCGTACGTTGGTTTGCGTGCAGCCAGCAGCAACAGCCTGGTTGATCAGGCGCTGATCCACCAGGAGGCCTGGTCACAGACCGGGCCGCGGGGGCATTGACCCCCGAAACTCTCTCCAGGTCCAGGTAACTCCAGGAGAAGCCTAATAGTACCCAACATTTTGGTTTCACATAAACTGTTCACCAGCAGTTAAGAATATCGAAATAAGAATTAAAATAAACTCTCGGATATATACACTGAGAAACATATACAACATGGTATACATAACCTAGAAACGCGAGTATCGAAAAATATCTTGAGCTTTTCACTATTCAGATTCATGGAACTGAAACATAAAGCTTGCCATGAAAGACTATAAATCATTATAAAACTGGAACTAAAGGTGATTAGTATACTTTGTTAGAACTGTGATGCAGGTAAAAGAAAGTTTAAGTCTTCTACCCAAAATAAGAGCAGGTTTAAGGCGACCCTTGCAAGAGTGTTTAAGTCTACCCTGGTAAACGTAGGTTTACACTGGTGAATAGTAAGAAAATGGACAATGATAATGGATGGACAAACAGCAGTGTACTTGGAGCATTCTGGTGACGTTAACACAAGTTGTAATAGCAGTGTGTTGTAGTGACACACTACAACAACACACAACAACACACTACAGCAACACACTACAACAACACACTACAACAACACACTACAGCAACACACTACACAACACACTACAACAACACACTACAACAACACACAACACAACACTACAACAACACACTACAGCACTACAAAACACAACAACACACACTACAGCAACACATACAACAACACACTACAACAACACACTACCAACAACACAACAACACACTACAAGCAACCACACTACAACAAACACACTACAGAAAACACACTACAACAACACACTACAACAACACACTACAACAACACACTACAGCAACACACTACAACAACACACTACAACAACACACTACAGCAACACATTACAACAACACACTACACAACAACACACTACAAGCAACACACTACAACAACACACTACAACAGCACACTACAAAAACAAAACTCAACAACACACTACAGCAACACACTACAACAACACACTACAGCAACACATTACAACAACACACTACAACAACACACTACAGCAACACACTACAACAACACACTACAACAGACACACTACAAAAACAAACTACAACAACACACTACAGCAACACACTACAACAACACACTACAGCAACACACTACAACAACACACTACAACAACACACTACAGCAACACACTACAGCAACACACTACAGCAACACACTACAACAACACACTACAACAACACACTACAGCAACACACTACAGCAACACACTACAACACACTACAGCAACACACTACAGCAACACACTACAGCAACACACTACAACACACTACAACACACTACAACAACACACTACAACAACACACTACAACAACACACTACAGCGTCACTAGCCTAAGTTTAGTTCATTGATGAAAGTGTAAGTTTATTCAGGTACAGGTATACATAAATACAGTTCCATAAATCATCACACATAGCAGCATATGTGAAGATTACCTAGCATAACCAAAGAAAGTCACAGTCTCATATTTCCAGGAGGTCCTTGTAATATCTTAGTATTTAAACCTTAAAAGTTAAAACAGCTATGTGAAAAGCAGCTACAATAAGATAATAAGAATAAGGTAAACCGAGGTATTTATATTAACATTAAAAAGAGGATCAGATCACAGTAATAGGCACATGTATGCTAGCTATACAAGAAATCACTCTCCTCCCTTTCTGTAGCTATATTCTCTAAGTACCTTCTGGTTCCTAATGATTGTTGTTACATTATGAGCTTCTAGAAGTTGCATCCTCTTCGTTTCGTTCCACTAATTTTACTTTTTAGAGGGGTGGTGGGGTAAGCCAGCGTGAAGACCTCAGTCAGTTGACCAAAACCACCAGTGGCGAGTCATCATACCTGTCAGGATGTCACTTTACCTGACGAAATATACCTGACCCAGCCGCCTAGCGTTTTCTTTTGTGTTTGCTCACGGTTTTGGGATAGACTGCTTTATTTAACTAAATGTATGTATTCCACCTTGTGTTCCACTGGTTTGTAGAACCTAATTACCATTTTCGTTATTTCTTGCTTTCCATGCAATGGAAATGCTTGACGCCCATCCCAGAATGTTATTAATATTGTAAGGGACTTCTAGAGTGGCAAGGTTAGATTGAAAGTCATGACTGTTTTCGTTTCTGTATCTAATTTAATTAAGATAATGGTTAGTTATTACAAAGAAAACACTGGAAATAAATTACTTTGGCTCTTCCTTGTTATCCTAGATAATTTACACGTATGTTATTGTGTAAGACAATTGTGATCATCTAAAAATTATGTAGCCGTGGAAGACAATGTTTTATTTCAGTATGCGCTCAGTGTATGTAGGTGTAAGCTGCTAGTCTGCCTTAACTATATTCTGGTTACTGTATCTTTTTTCCTATTTTTTTTATTCTGTGTTCATCCCGGTCCAGAATACCTTAATTTCTTAAATAAACATTAAGGTAAACTCCCAGTGTAAATACGCTGAAAGACACTCTCTTCAGAGGCTTCAAGATGAGTCAGGAGGTACCTAGGTGTTAGTGGAATGGTCTGGGTCGCATTCTGGATGAGGAAGGTTAAGGACCTCACTGGAAATGAGTCAGACTGATGACATAGCTTTATTGAGGTATCCTGAGTTACTAACTCTCTGTATTTATAATCCAAAGTCTTCTTGTTCTTCATTAACTGCATGGAAAGGGTCAGTGAGGCTGCATATTCAACTTGTTCACTACCAGTCAACTATCTCTTAATCCTTAAAACAGATATTAGAGTAAACTCTGTATATTCTCTGAGAGTTATACACCCTTCAATATTTATAACTTTGTATGAAAAACTCCAGCAATGCTGGAAGTGTTCATTTGTGTGACTGTCTCCCCACAGTGCAGTGTGGTGCTCAGCGTAGCTCAGTTAATGATGATGTTAATATCTTTATTTCCACATGTACAAGCTATACAGTCCTAGCTGACAGCAATGACATGCTACTGTATAGAAAGCCGCTTGTTATGCAGAGCATTTCCCGCAAAATAGGTCAGTTTTGTCCCAGGATGCGACCCATACTAGTCAACTAACACCCAGGTACCCATTTTACTGCTGGGTGAACATGGACAACAGGGGTAAGGAAACACTCCCAATGTTTCTACCCTCGCCGGGAATCGAACCCGGACGTCAGCGTGTGAAGCGAGAGGTTTAGCCACCAAGCCACGGGCCAGGCGAAAAGAGACGAAATTGATACGAATTCGTGTATATTTAATTTTGTCCTATGTAATGCTGACTTTAATGAATGTAACAACAGTATGTAGACACCACTCGAGGCATAAATATCGTGACATCATAGGCTACCATCTTTATCTATTAATCTTCGTCATTTCCTCCCGTAAAAAAAAAAAAAGTTTCTATAAATGCAAATTTACTTTTAGCGGCAATATTCATCATATTTCTGTACGCTACAATGTGAGTACCTCTGTACAATATTTATTTATTATCTTAGGTTACACGAAAGTAACTTAATCTAAATCAACCTAACCTAATCGTTTAGAGGTAGATTTGATCATATTTACCTCACAATACTAATGGTGGCTAGTCCGTGCTATTTTCTAGCCAAACCTACATGTATTCCAGTCGCTGCACGATCCCATATGTCCCAATATTCCATAATCCCAGTTCCTAGTATCTCAATTACGTGGCTGGAACAGTGCCGAGTGCGGCTTAAGTTGATAATGTGGTTCAATATTAGTGATGATGAGTCATCATATAGAAACTAATATCTAAAGTTCTCCAATAAAAATTGTAAATTAGGACAAATACGGTCGAAATCTGATTCTAACCTCTCAGAGAACAATATCCTAAAGTATACAAGCACATTAAGCTTGAAGCTGCAGAAGTCGTATCATCAGAAAATATCGCATGAAAAGCAATATTTGAATTTTTCCAATTTCTTCCGAAAAAAAATGTGAATTGGGACTTACACAAGCCAAAGTCAATCCAAACTTTTCTCTAATAAAGACTGACCAGCTTTTAAAAAAAAATATGTGAACCTAGTGTACTCACCTATTGGTGGTTGCAGGGGTCGATTCATAGCTCCTGGCCCCCGCATAACATACAAACAGTTTAATAATAGTCTTGGGGGCACAGTGGGTGTTAGAGGCACATAAAAGAACATTGTGGAAAATTGCATTTATCTGAATGTATCATTATGTACATAACAGTAAATGATCAAAGATAATTATTATTTATCAGTTAGACAAGTAGGAATTTGGGACACCTAGGTCGCAAAAAATGTGCCCCTTCGATACCTACCACTGTCATATCCACAAGTTGCTCTGGACCTATTAATTATAAATAAAATATACATCACCAGGAATGCTGGTAAATATATAAATTTGTGGACTGTATATTAAATTAAAAATTATTATATATAAATACACATTTATATAACAGGAGAATATATTTTAATATAACATCGCAAATTACTGGAACAATGTTTTTCATACTCAAGTATCACTGTCTATACTAATTTTAACATGAAATGCAGAGTTATAACATAAGACTTATCTGAGGTTCCTGGAGCTGTCTTGTCCAGTCGCCTGATATCTCAAATTATGCAGGACTGCACATCCAACAAGTTCGCCTCCTATTTGAGGTGTCAAAATTTAAACTCAAGCACAATAATCCTTCCCATTAAAACGTGTATCCAATTCCAAATTAAATGGCGACTTTCTCCAAGTCAAAATTACAATGACTGAATTTCTTAAAAGTAAAATGGCCCTATTTCTATAAAATTTTTTGAAAATAACAGTATCTCATTACATTAACTGATTTTAAATAAAATAATGTTCCAAATTGAAACCGATTTACATAACCGACAAGTCTGAATCAATATTGACCCCAGGCAAACCAACAACTGAAATTATAAAGTTTTACCAGAGGATACCAATTTTCAATTTCTCAGAATCACCAAATTGGTACCTCCAAACTCAATCCAAAAAATTTGTGCCTCCAATATTAACTAAAACGTCCGCCATTATGATTATTTCTATTCACTGATTATTACATTTATTCATTAAGCGCTAGCGGAAAGGCTAACTAGGGACTATGGACGAGGGGGGCATTAAATTCCATCCATCAAAGGGGAAGACAAGTCCAGTTCTTGGGATCAAGAGCCTCTCACCAGCAACAAGGGGAGGGTAATACTATTTCGAGATTAAAGCCTTTGATATACCGACCTTTTAAGTAGGATACAACAGTGTTGATATTGTGTAGGTGATCAGAGGAGGCGGTTCCTCCCTGTCACGGAAACAAAAATACGGGAATGGCCCATGTAGCATTGTGTATAGGTCACCCACACATGCAAATAGTCCCATGAATCTTGCCCAAGATACATTACACAAGTGTTGAAAATTTGAAGCCGATCGAATAAGGCGTTCTCAAGTAATAAACGAAAATTTGTGAGAAAGCAAACGATAATGTCGAGAATGTTCCGGAAAAATAGCCCCTTCGGGGCTGCCTAATAAATGCATTATTTTCGCTAATGTCTTCTGTAATAAGTATTTGTACAATAATTTTTTATAATACCTGGAGTTCAGAGATTTTACGCATATTTTCACATAAGTAAAGTATTGAGTTTAGAGCTGGACCTAAACTCAATATTAACCTACAAACAAGTACTTATCTCACATAACACAACAGCTTTAAAATTTCGTATCCTAGAGAGGTAAATGTTTCTCATCTCCACATTTGGAAAGAATTTAGACAAGTCGTCTTTTTTATGTATCAAGTCAATATAAGGATTTTTTAAGCAAATTAAGCACATTCGTTATAACCAAAGAATCGCTCACAACCCTCGACATAATTCTTATCGAATTTGCTTATTTCAGTCGATATCCCCTTATATAAAGTTTAGTCCTAGGAAATAAAGTCACAGTGGACTGTGTGGATACGTATAATCAGCATAATGTATTACGAGTAAACCAATATCTGTGCTTAAGACAGACACACTTATACTGTCTATAAATCTTGTAAAGTTTTGTAGATGTTATTAATTATTATTATTATCATATATTATATTATTATTATAATTATTATATTATACTTGTACCCATCTTGAGTAATATACTAGTTCATTCTACTTACAGCATTTTCTGTACAGATAATAAATTAATAAACCCTTTTATTTTATATATTGTTTTTTATACACACCCTCATTTGAGGTAAAATAGCTTATGTGAATTTTTCCTAGCTGCTTACCCGTCCTTGCCATTTTCAGTAAGATAAATCAATGTCTAATCACAACCCCTTGAAGTATTGACCTAAGCTTGGTTTCATCAGCACCAGGCTCCATTTGAAAGGAGCGTCCGCCATTTACATTTTTCCTTTGGGAGCTTTTTTTGACTAATAATAATTACCATTTTTACCAGAGAGTTGTGTATAAGGTAATTACCTATTTCTCCTCCCTCTCGTGAGGAGAAAAATGAGCGTCCGCATGCCTGTAGTAGGGTGGAACATTGAGCAATACGACGTACCTCACAACACAGAGAGTACCCGTCGGAAAAAGGTAAGTTTTCCATCATTACTCGCAATTTCTATCTTCAGTATCATTTGCAACGCTATACGTTGAACTTGCTGAAATACTGGTTCCATTCTTCTCATCACACCTGGCTAAGTAAATTTTTGCCACACTGTGTGCAAAGTTTTTATCTGCAGTGTCATATTTTCATATCGCTAAATGGTTACAACTTTCCTGACATTACCTCGTCCATAGTTTCGATACAGCCACAACAGTCTATATGCACACCCTGTCTATCATCGTGCCACACTCTGTTTTTTCATCATACCCACGCAGTCCCTGTTCCCAAACACACCTGCGATATTGGCCATGGGCAACCTGCCACAGTTACTAACACATATTTACCTTCCTATAAGTGGTAATATCAAAAGCATAGCTAAAATATAATAACAATATATGATTTTTGACGAAAAATCGTTTGAAAGGTGTGGGAAATATTGCAAAACTGGATTCCAAAACATACAGGCCCCAAGGTAAGGACCCAGGGGGCGAGGGCAAGTGGGACATGCGAAAATAGATGGTGGAGGAATGTCTTTAGTCGAAAGAGAGACGAGTAGATAGACCCAACTGCTAAGCCTGGAAAAATGACATGACGATAGCCATAAAACAGGAAAAAACTGGGTTTGGGGGCTGGGGTTAATTGCTGCATTTGACAATTGGGGCTGCAGAGTGGAGGCGTGGGTCCAAGGGAGGCTAGCTTCCTTGATTGTCGGTGTCGTTTTGTTTGTGAGTCAGGAGTTATCATTTCTTCAGTATGGAGGCCTTCCCCTTAGTTGTGCATTGTTGGAGGAAATGATAGTAGTCTGGTAATCTTGGGTCGAAATGCGGTGGGCTTGTAACTGGTCAAAGGTCCTTGGTGGGGGAAGGAGAGTGGTTCCTCGACGATTTGTAAATTTGACTTTCTTCTGAATTCTCGTACAAATTTTCAAAATTCATGGTGGGTTTTTGGGTCAGGAGTCGTAAAAAATTTTTATATCTTTCCAGTGTGGGTATTGATCTCGGTGTTGGTCTTCTGTATTAATACGTCGAGTGATGACTTGTGAGGTTTTTGTTGGTGGTTGCAGCATTGGAGGTTCATTCAATGTTGTCTTCACTACCGAGTGTGTAGAAGACTGTGGTGGAATCGTGGCTTCTGATTGGTCCATTTGAGCAGCGGTGAGTGGAGGCGAAGGAATATCTGCGCCGCCACGACGAGCCAATCGACGAATAGGAGACGTTTTAGTGACGTCACTAGGTGTTGGTGGTGTTGTAGCTGCTGGCTCAGCGGTGGTAATTAGTTCCTTGGTGAATTTTAGTATTTCTTCCGAAGGTGGAGATGCTGGGAATTTGAATGATGGCATATTATTTAATGCAAATACCTCGTTGATGGTAGAGTTAAAGGATCCAGGTACAGCCATGTTCTGCATGTGAGAATATAGTAAACAGTAGTGGATCTTGGTTACGTTACATGTTGGAGGAGTGATGATGGTGGAGGCTGGCTGAGTAGATGCTTGAAGTAATTTTGTAGTGTTTGCTTGTATCTTTGCAATTGCTGCATACGTTGGAGTGTTGCTAGTAGGTTTTTTCTTTGCTTTTCTGCATCTTGTGTTTTCTTCATAATATCCTTTCTTGTAGGACATTTTGCTGCCAGTGTATGGTGATCATTACTCTTGCAGTTTAAGCACGCTGGTTGTGATGGAGCAGCAGCGGTACAGGAACTGAAGGTGTGTCCCTCACTACCACATGTAGTGCAGAACTTCTTGTCTTTTACTGGACATGCTTTGGTGGTGTGATGGTATGAATAACAGTTCCAGCAATGTTGGATGTAGTGGTATCTCTCTGCTTCAATGTAGGTAGGACTGATGTAGTAGTAGTAGACAGCAAGACCTTCGTTCAGAGCAGTGGCAGCCATGTTGACGTCGGTGAAGGTGACCTTGAGCATGGACGTTGCATTTGGGATTTTCGTAATGCTGTCAACAGTAGCCCAAGTATTTTGCGTCTCGATGGATGACTTGAGTTTAACAGTTGATTGAGAAGTCAGAATCTTGTCAAGTTTTTTAAGGAATACTGATTTCCTTGCCCTGAGGGCAGGAGATGATGCAACAGTAAACCCTTGAGCAGTAAGAGTAGTGGTGGCTTCTGTAGTGAGTAGCTTCTCTGCTTCAGCATCATCGTGACACACAACAATGAATGCTTCTTTCAGTGACAATATGGTGTTGAATTTTACTTGCAGTGCTCCCTGAACAATAGTTGCAAGAGCAATCTTCGTTGAATCATCAACGGTATTCGGTATCCAGACCAGAGCTTTGGTGAGATGGGTAAGGAAGGATGGGTAAGGATAGAAATTTTGGAAAAGGGTGGGAGGGGGGAGAGAGGTAGGATATAAAAGGTAAGTGGCCCAACCACTTTGGTGTAATTTAAAAAGTGTACGTGAAATGATAAGATATTCTTTAAGAGGTATAAGACTAACCCATCAGTCACATAGATATAACAGAATATAAGTACATGACTCTGAATTGGTAGTAATTATACAAGTTGCGTTCCAACGAATACAAGTCAAGTGCTTCCAAGCGTTCCCAGTAGTTAAGGTGCTTGACAGAACTTATACGTGCAGTAAAGGATCTCTGTACACTCTCTAGATCTGCGATTTCACCTGCTTTGAATGGAGATGTTAATGTACAGCAGTATTCTAGCCTATAGAGAACAAGTGATTTGAAAAGGATCATCATGGGCTTGGCATCTCTCGTTTTGAAAGTTCTCATTATCCATCCTATCATTTTCTTTGCACGTGCGATCGTGGCACTGTTGTGATCCTTGAAAGTGAGATCCTCAGACATTACTACTCCCAGGTCCCTTACATTATTTTTCCGCTCTATTGTATGGCCGGAGTCAGTAGTATACTCTGTTCTAGTTATTATCTCCTCCAGTTTTCCATAACGGAGTAGTTTGGAATTTGTCCTCATTGAACATCATATTGTTTGCCGTTGTTTCATTGTGGGAGAGTCATTCTTTGAGTCCTGTGAGGAGGAGTATTGATGGTATAATCCGTGGTATTTACCACTTGTATAGGATGTTCTCTATCTGGCATGTATAGTTCTTGCATTGTATAGAGTTGTTTCTTTTTTAGGGTGTCAAGGCGTACATTTATGGCAGGAATATCTTGTTGTATGTGTAAATTTGCCATTTTAACTCTGTCTCTCCTCCTGGTATCGGTAATAAACCGAAGAGCTCTATTCTGGACCCTTTGTAACCGTAACATGTTGGTCTTTGTTGTTAATGACATTGGGACACAAGGGTATTCGAGTACAGGTCTTATTAACATTCTGCACAGATGTTTTTTGACTTGTTGAGGGGCTTGATTGAATCGAAAGAGACTGCTAAGACCGGCTTTGGCTATGTTGATCTTTTTAGTTACATGAGATGTTGAGTGGAGCAGCCTGTCTATTTCGTATCCCAAAATCTTGTTAGGGTTTCTAATGGCTACAGGTGTACCTCTGATGGAGATACCTCCTTTATCTTCAATTGTTTATGCAAAACATCCTATCGTGCTAACAAGGACCTTGTCAGGATTAGTCGTAATTCTCCACTTCTTTTCCCAATTAGATGTTCGACTAAGTTCAATATTCATTTTTTCTATGACTCTCTCATACTTGTATTTTCCTGTTACCGGAGCTGATGAGACGACATGAATAACATCATCTGCAAACTGTGTCACAATCGTGTCACCAAACTCTGGTTGAGGAAGGTCATTCACATAAATGTTGAACAGAAGTGGACTGACACCAGCCGTCGGTATAAAAGGCTCTGTCGACCTGCCATGAAAGGTGGGAATGATTTTTCTTTGAGTTAAGAAATTATAAATTACTCTGAGGAAAGTCCAGTTATGGTCTGGTAGGTCAATGAGTTTGTATATAAGGCCATCATGCCATAAGCTATCAAAAGCTTTATGAACATCTCTGGTGGCAATTAAGGCAAGATTCCCCTGATGTTTTAGACTTGCTACAGTATCAAAAATAACATTTATTGCATGATTGGTACCTCTATGTGTTCTAAAGCCAAATTGTTTTTCAGTAAAAAAGTGATTAAACTCCATATAGTAGTTCAATCTGTTGGAAATGACCTTCTCAAGAACTTTTCCAGTGACTTCAAGTAAAGATATAGGTCTATAGTTCCCAGGTTGGTGAATGTCTTTATTGGGCTTACCTAGAAAGATCATCCTAGCAGTCTTAAAAACCACTGGAAAATGTCCTGAGGCCAAGATGGCATTAAAGATATTTACCAAAGACTGTTTACAATTTCTGGGAAGGAACTTTATTTATTTCATTGTTATTCCAGAGAGGCCAGGGGCTCTATTACGCATTCTTCCAATAACCTAACTCATCTCTAGTAATGTAATAGGTCTAGTAAGCGGGTGGGTATCTTCAAGAGTTGAAGTATCGATGGAAGGTAGTGGTTTAGATCATCCAAGTTCTCATCTCTCCATTCATTTACCAACTGATAATGATTATTGTTAAATTGACGAATGTTATTGTGGGAGAGAATTTTCTCCCATACATCACCCATCAAATTAGCCTGGTCTTGTGGATCGTCAAGTTAATTTCAACTTCTTCATCATCCTCATCAGTGAAGGTATGAAACTAGGTAGTTAGGAGCCTTGTGCTTTGCCCCTAAAGTTGTCGGATCTTACTCCAAAATTTTGCTGGTTCACGTTTATACTGATTAGCTTGAAGAACTAGCAATTTCCATAGTTCCCGTTTGTGATGACAATCATGTTAATTAATGCTTGCCTTAATCGGTGCAGTGTAGCTACTGTGGTTGTCGCGTTTGAAGATGCCTTCGACATTCTGCTTGATAATTTCTTAAACTGTCTCTAATTTCTCTAGTAGGTTTATATGTTGGTATATCTTTGTGGAAGCTAATTGACAAGTTGCATTAGTAGCTTCATTTATTCGATTATGCAGAGACCTGATTGCATCATCAATTGCAGTGGAAGGTTAGATTTTCCAATG